CAGCTTACCCATAGCAGATTTCTGAATGGCAAGTCACAATGACTGGAAATCTGTGTTCTTTATGGTAGGTCATTGGAGAAGGTACGTCCTTTCTGCAGAAGCATTCAACAGCCTGTGTGGACAGGCTCTAACAATAGCGCTTACAAATAGGAGGATTCCCAACACCTTCATTTCTGCCTGCACTGAGAAAGGGAGCGATGGACAGATTTCATCTTCTCAGATCACCCTTGCCAAGCAACACACTGAAGGACATGGAAATGTGGCTTTCATTTATCTCACCGGAAGCAACTGGTAGTTGCGAATATTAGAAAAATCTACTACCTTGCAGGGACTGAAGCGTTCATATTCTGACTTCCAAAGCATTTGTTTGCATCCCTATTCACTTGTCATTTTAAGGACAGTAATTTAGTGAACGTACTTTTTTAGTTTAAAAGACCGAGAAAACCTGTCACTATTTCGCCATGTTTCTTCTTCCAAGGATTAAATAAATCACTTTTCTCTCTACTTTAATGCATATGCTTACATTGTCCAAGATTGAAGACAGGTTAACAGAACACATAGTCATATTCTAAAGCCAAACTGGGCCACACCAAAAGTCTGTCCAGATCAGGATTCTCCCTCCAGCAGTAACTGAAAATTAATGCCAAGCAAAGCATATAAGAACACAATACTTTTTTCTAGTTTCTAGCTAGCATGATGTCCCTGAGTTGGATGTGGTCTCTACATATTTACTAGCCTGGATTTCTTTTTGTAACTTGGCAAATGTCTCTACAAGTCTGCACAAATTTTCCGTACACCCATAGCATCCTGCAGGAAGGAGCTCTCCAGCTCAATTACCTGTTGCAAGCCACCTCCTTGGCTTGCTTTGAACCTGTCTCCTCTTAGATTCATTTGATACACCTTAATTTCTGTATGCTCACCTCCTTCATGCAGTCATGGGTGCCCCTCAGTCATCTAATTTACACTACAAGCATCACAAGAGCTGGCAAAAATCTGACCTCGTTACTCAATACTTTTTCACACCTATAACTTACACCTACCCTGAATCTTAGCAACACTCCAGTAACCCTTGCCAGTCTCAGGACAAACCTCACCTGTACAGCTCACCAGCTGACACAGAAACCTTGCAAGAGTTAACAATACTCCTTTGGGTTACTCCTAGGTCAGCCAAGACGCCAACTCCAGATCTAACTGAACGCATTTCACAAAAACTGCCACACATTTCCAAGCTATTGTTTTTCTTTTTTATTCCACTTGTTGTCATTAGCCTTCCTCCTAGCCCCACAGAGTTGGCCAAGTCTTACAATAACTTTCAACTCTGTTGAAAACTATAACATTTACCCTGGCAAGGCATGCACAATAGCCACACTTCTAGCTCAGTGCAAATAAAGTCAACTGCTTGCAAACAGAAACTCCCATTTGTGTCCTGTGTGACCTTCAGAGAGTTATAAGAAAAACTTGCCTGCTGCCTGAACACTAACCCTTGCTTCAGCCATAGTTAAGGTGTTAGTAACCACCTCAAGATCACCACCCAACACTGGCCTTAGTTTCATGGAGCTTCTCCCTTCTGGTCTTGACACTAAACTTAGCTCTTCCACTCCCATCCTCCCAACTCAACCCAAATTGCAAATAACATCTTAGCTTTAAATTCAGTTCAGTGACCTAATTACTGCCTTAAAAACCTCATTAAAAGCTTATCGTACTAGCTTTTCATATCCTGCTGCTGTAGGTGTCCACAATTGAGGAACACAGTTCTCTGAGGCTGGGCCATCACCACAAACCTCTCCCATGTGACAGGACATCCACCAGCTGGGAAAGCACCAGGGCCAGCATGTCACCACCTCCAAATCCACCCTCAAGTGATTTAGTCAGCCAACAATGCTTCTTGTTTCCACTCTGTGGAAATAATCAGGCTTTAGAAACAATCTTATGTCTTCAGCCTCCCTCTTCCTTGCACCTAAGCTAAACGCCAGCCCTGCACTTCAGCCTAGCCTTCCTGCTGGCCAGATATACAGATCCTCCCATAAACCAGCCCAACGCCACACAACCATCTGGCATCCCAGACCTGCACTCATGATGACGGATGCAAAGTCAGTTCTGCAGCGATACCTTCAGCTCTGACCATGGTAAGATAAAGTCTCAGGTGAGAGTTATAGATTGAGTCTGAAAGAGAAGGTAAGGAAAAGGTTTGTTGCCAAGATAAGGGCTGTGGCCAGTGGGTGCATCGCGGGCTGTTAGTTCAGAGACAGCCACTGGGTCTCTGCCTACCTTGCAGGATTGACCACGCACCTATTTGGCAAAAAATTGCCACTCTAGCTGTCCAGAAACTTACTGTAAGGCTTCATCCACATTGACTAATCAGTCTTCCCACAGCTCTGCAAGACTGGCAAGATACAAAAAAAAAAAAAAAAAAAACAGCTCTCATCTCCAACTTCTCATCTGCAGGTGGACCCCACAACAGGTCTAACACGAAGACTACTGCCAGTAGTGTTGCTGGACCTATAGCTATCTCTGAGGCAGTTGGTGGGTCACTGACTGTTTTGAAGCAAAGGGTTAGGGTCTGGCTTCAGGAAAGGCGTTGCTAAGCAAGTCTAACGTGCTGGCAGGTAGATCCTTCAGGCTTAGGGTGGTGCATGGGATCAGGATAGCTGAGTTTTGGCCTCTTCCAGGTTGTTTGGTTTCAAGTTCAAGGTAGTGGTTAGATTAAGGTTTGACTTCAGAGAAACAAGAGTTGGAGAGAAGAACTTATAAGCAGATTTTGCAGGTACCTCACATCTAAGGTGAAGGCTTATGCCAGGAGACCGGGGTTTAAGTCAACAGAAGCTCAGGAACAGCTTCTTTCTATATACTACAATGCTCAGAAGTTGAAGACAGGAACTATCACAGAAGGTCAGCAACAAGATCCATGTCAGGGCAAGCAGCTGGTACTGAACTGTGGCAACAGGCTGCCAGAGCCCTGATGAGCCTCACCTGGCCCCACATCTAATGCCCATTGCTCTAGGAGCTCCATTTCAGCTCAGCCCTGTCTCCTGGATGGACACTGGACTTGTGCTGTAGGCAGCCTGTCTCCTGGATGGACTCCCTCAGGCACATGCTCTTGTTTTTCTCTACTCCTGCCTCTCACCCTTTCTCCTGGATGGACTCTGGGCCAGTGTTGCAGCCTTGCCTCCAGTCCTCCAACCTTCTGTTGTCAGGACTCTTGTCTGAGCACAAGCCATGGGAGGCTGGTGCTAGATCAGCCAAGAAGGAACTGACCAGCTAAGTTTAACTCTGCATATTAGAAAGCCACGTAACAGCTGGCATCTGGGCTTGCTGAAAGGATGGGTTTTCTGGATGGAAGATACAGGCTTCTGGGTAAATGGGCTAAAGTGAGGATTAAGACCAAGTTCAGCAGAGTGGAGGAGCTGGACTAACTACAGGGTTTTGGAATCTCTCCAGAACAATAACACTGTATTTTACTGGCAAGGTTTTCCTTAATTAGGTTTGGAGCAGGTTAAGTGTTGCTGAACTTCAGGCGAAGCCAGGGCTGCTGCTGGGGCCAAGGAGGACCTCAGCCAGCAGCACTCTCACTTGTCTTTCATAAGGCTGCTAATAAAATCCACAGTGCTGGTGGTAAAAATAGTCACTGTTTCATACCCCAAGAATGACTTAGCTTTTGGGTTCAACAAAACTTCCGCAGTCATTACAAATGTAAAGAGACAAACACACGAAAGACATTTGCAGCACAGAATATGTAATTGGAATCAGGCCAGGGCCATTTATGACTTGATGACCCCCATCTCAGCATAAACATATCAAAAAGGGACAGCAGCAAATCCTTCACGCTGTGCCACACAGAGTCTGGTATTAATGATTCTGCCAGAAGAGCTGCAAATAGATCAGAGCTTTCCAAATCAGACACCGTGCTTCCTGGAAGCACTTTTAGCCTTGATGGTAATAGGAGCTGTTGTCACATTATCATAAAGGTCTCCCAAATGAGATCCAGTCCAATTCTGCAGCAGATGTTGAATAAAGATTGCTTGATCTTAACCTGTGTTTCTGCTGCAATTTCACTGTTGGAATGAGAAGCCAGCAAGGCCAGAAAGTGACACAGAGGAGGAATGTTCCCATTTTCATTTGAGACATGAGGAAATTCCTCCAGAAGCCTCCAAAGTGTCTTTCCCCAGTTCAGTAGCCAACCAGAGCAAACGGTTATGCATCTGGCCCTGTCTTAAGAGGAACTTCCTACCAACTTCTCGGAGCACTGGTCTGGTTAGGTCAGGAGAGAAGAGCTAAGTTACAGCTGCCACTGCCTTGCTGGTATGGCCTAGAAAAGCCAGACGGATGTGGTATCAGCCTACCTAACCACACATCGTCCCCCAGGCAAGGAAAAAAATCATTTTCACTAAATTTAAGCATTTATGTATCTGTAAAAAAAAAAAAAAAAGTGATAAAATGGCAAAAATCTGTTAAAACATTTCAGATTTGTTGTTTTTAATTAATCCATGGCAGCCCATCCTATGCTTAGCCATGGCTGTGCAGTACTCTGTGCCACTGAGGTCCTGCCTTCCACCTTCACTGATCCGCCACTGATATTTCACCAACAGGCACAGTTGTCTCCTTTGTATACGAACTTCAGCTGACACCAAAACTCTGAATGCTTGCATCCCATACCCCAGGAGCAGCCAGTTTCAAGGTTTAGGATTAGGGTTTAGTCATTGGGCTTTCTCGTCCTGTGTTCAGGCAATTAAATTGTATTCTTTGGGCTCTGCATAACAACAACCCCATACTTTTCAGTAAGAAAGCATCTGTAATATAACTCTACAGGACCTGGAGCGTGCTTTGGGGTTCAAATAACGCTGGTTGCTTTCTATTCTAGAAAGAGTAACAAGGAGAAGTAATTAAGTTGAGACAACAAAACAAGTCTTCTCATTTGCCATCTGTAAAACATTTTAGTGCAGGGAAAAAACAATGTCAAGACTACACTTTTGAAAACTTTTGTTTGATTAGTGGCATTGTACCTCGTCAGTAAATACGGTGAGAATGAAGCTGGATTGTCCTGCTCTGAAAACATCGGCATGGATCCTCCCATTATCCAGAGGCGGAAATACAACACCAGAATCACCTTCAAAGAAGAATATCTCAGTTAGCAACGCACTACTAAGAAGAACTAAGGCCTCCAGCAAATATTCTGTTGTGATGGCTCTCCATCCTCTGCTCCATGCCTAGAAGTGAGTCTGCTCAGCGATTTAGGCAAAATTCAATCTTGCCACCCTATGCAGGGTGCCAAACATGCCAACCCTCAGCACAGACAGCACGCTATGTTGTTGTGTCCTGTCCTTTCATTTGTGTGTCACTGACAGCAACTGGCGTATCTTGGCTGCCCACGACAAAGGCAGCGTTTTGAAGGACAAATCCTTCACCCTGCTGTAGCTCAGACTGCAGAGTTTTCCTATAGACCTCTATCCAAATACAGAGGGGAAAAACATGGCTGATGCCTGAAAAGCTATTATTGTTCATTCATGCTGGCATAGGTATAAGGATAAACTCCATCGGTGTTTCTCATGCTGTGTAATCCTAATCCCTAGAAGGACTTCTGCGAGCTGGCACTCCTCCACTTTTCCGGGAACAACTCATCAAGGGACAAGCAAGGGGAATCATCTCCTAAATCAGCACAGGAAGTCGCATATCCAGCACACTCTCGTGGAGGAGCTCCTTTTCTCCCCTGCAACGTGCCAAGTCCTGCTTGGAGTGCACGAAGCAGCAGGGATTTGCAGGCAGAGCTCTTCTTGGGACTCTTACCGAGCCTTGCACTGAAACTAACAGCATGCCACTGGAAAGTCAGTCCAGCGCCAGGAGAGTGCCCCTGTATTTAGGGCAGGAAATACTTGTAGATGATTACATGCTTGTAAGGGCAACCACTATAAATTAAAAGAAAATTTGAACTGAAAACACAGCAATATTTTCTTGTCTCTGCCCAGCTGAAGTTTTCTAGACTATTTTCCAAGACTAACTTTGCATTAAGATCTACCATCAAAGCTTTCCGAGTCTTTTGGGATACAATCATGGAATGTTCATTCTCGGCACATACACAGAAATACGTGGTCAAGTCCATTCATACTTACGTAGCTTATCACCAAAGCAGCTCTCTTCAAAAAAGGCCTTGCAGTATATAAGAAATTCTGGTTGTTATTTGCAGTCAGGTAACTGAAATATAAAGAAACATATATTTGTTGAAATACTTGGAAACAAGAACTCGTTTTTCAAACCGGAAAAAAAGCTGTACATTGCTTTAAATACCCTAATAATGTACAGGAATAATGACATCACTTTTACTCTTCAAAGCTCTTTCCACATGACTTAAGTAAAACATTGAGACCACTTCAAATAATACACACTCTAATACATCACAGTTTCCCCATCAAAATCTGGTTTTGGTTTGTTGGGATTTTTTTAAACCATCAATTAACTCCTTAATCCTCTGAAAACTCCCACATGTGTCTCACTAAGATTACTGTCTTCAGACTCTCAGAAGACTACACTGAGACACATTTTTAAAAGGTCACCCAAACAGAGCAATTCAATTTTAGACCATGATTAAAATGCAAAAGCTCCTTATTCCCAGCTCTCTGCTCAGTCTCTAGAGATGGGAATAACTGTCTAGCAGAACTGAACTTATTTTAAGCATGTTTTTTTAAAGTGTATTGTGCACGCTAAAGTTTCATTACAAGTCTGCTGACAAGGTGTTATGATAATTAACTGCAGAGAGACAAACACACAGGTGGCTTATTGCTGTAGAAGCATTCATAAAAACCTTCCTGTTTCTCCATGAGTAAAATTAAACGGTATCTGGAGCCAAAACTACACATTTATTTTAATACAGAGCAGAAGCACTTGCCAAATTCTAAGGAGTTTTCTTAATATAACAAACGGTGCCATACCTATGACATACCTATAACATTAATTCAATGATAATTCCATTTCTATTGAACCTTACAGAGGCTTCATCATTGTAACAAAGCAATGAGAAACAAAAAGAAATACAGAAGAGACAATAGGAATATTTTAAGCATATAGGAGCTAGAAAACTATTGAAAAAATGACAAATAGTTTTAAGAAGTTGGAAGTATCAAGTAAACAAAATAAATTCAGAAGTAAAACATTTGCAGGTTCCTCTGTGCAACATACAATCAGTGTCGGGATACTCTATAATAAATGATTTACAAAAACTGCATCATGAATCACACACCTGCACGCAAGTTTCCTTTCCAAGCACGAAAGCATCATACATTTCTCCCATGAACATCTAGCATATAAAAATGCATCTTATTTCCTCTCCAGACTCCTCAAGACAGTCTGTCATCTGATTGCTTCCTCCCTTCAAAAAAACAGTATTGCAACACTTCCTAATGCTGCCAAGAGTCTTCAATATCTGGCTTTTTGTTCAAATTTTCTATAGTAGGAAGTTTGCAAGCAAGATGGAGAAAAGATTACACTGCAGACAAAAGCACTAGGGGCAAAGTCAGCAAGAAACAAAGGTGGCATTTAACAAGAAGAAAGAAATACATCTGGGTGCTCTCCACAAAATAACTGCTCTTCAGAAAGCTTTCTCTAAGTGTCATGACTAAAACTTAGGAACCAAACCATACATTGTAAAGTAAGCCAGATGACTTTCAGTCTTTGGTGTCTACTTATTTACAAATGTTGACATTTAAGCACCGAATCTGAGTTAAATGTCAGACTACTCTTCAAGGGCTGAACTCCGCAAAGTGCAAAGTTTTTTGAGCTCCCACCGATTTTAATCAGGCTCCAGCAAGAACAAGTGAGATGAAACTAAGCCTTCAGCTTTCTCTCTCCATGAAAGGTCAGGTTGGCCTTCAAGTGTTCACCATGGCCCTGCTCCAAAGCCCACCGGAGCCAAAGGGAAAGACTCTGGGTGACTTTAACAGCATTTGGATCAAACCCCAGTCTTTTGTTCCCTACTGGAACCTTTTATGAAACTCAACCCTCTCGTGATTTACAGTGGGAACAGGAGGGTTGGGTTGCATTTTGTTTATATTTTTATGGATGGAGGGAGGAGAGCCCTCTATTAATAATCACACTGCTTCGCTCTTTTCAAGAACCTGTTTTCACTCACTTGTAGTTTTAACTAACTGCAACACTTTGGGCAGAAATTTTCCATTACAAATATTTGCTTTAGGTAGAATTATTCTAGGAAAAGATCAGCCAGAACAGTTCAGCTTTTTCTCCAAGAAATTAGAGACAGAGGAGCATTTTCATCAGTGTCAAGAAGTCTGCCAACTTCCTCCTTGTGAAACTGCATCACGTCGCACCAGTGACCTAAAACTTGTGAGGTGGCTGTCATTTCGGGGCCATGTGTTTGCCATCCTCCAGAACAGCGACCCATGGTCAGGCAAGCTACCAGCCTGGGGGGCAGCACCTGCAGGGAGGTGGGGACATGCAGACCCCACTGCTTTGCCATGCTCAGTGGGGATCTGGCTTTTAACAGATCACGTTTGCATTGAAGATGTTCCAGCTGGAGCAGCTGCTAGGGACAACACACCGTTTGTGAAGGTAGCCCTTCAGCAAGAAGGGTCAACGTTTTAAGCTGCCGAGGTTCAGGAAAGCATATCTGTGCTTCAGGGCCTTGCAGACACTGATCTAGGTCTGGAGACCATCACAGAGCATAGAGGAACCCTCATTATTACCATCTCTCTGTTCCCTCTCAAGCCTGGCCTGAGGAGAAAATTAAAGCCAGAAAAATCAATGTAAACGGAAGGCAGCAGTTGCTCTTTCATCCTTGGCAGCACAGTGCAGGAATGTTTACTCTTTAACATCTTGATTTTGACTTCTTTTTTCTGCCAATGAGTAACTACAATGGTGCCCACATCTCGCACCTTCCTTGCAGCAAGCGTAACACCACACTAGCTACCAAACCATTTCAAGGCAGGTGTTTATCTGAAAGTTGAAATTAATTTGAAGTGCTCCACCGAATTGCAGCTGGCCACTGCAGAGCAGGCCTTTTGAAAGCATGTCAGAAAATCCTGACAGGCCCCTCACAGTTTGTGTTGTAGAGCAGTAACATCTCCAGGAAAAACAAAACAAAACAAAACAAAAAACAGAAACGTCCGCATTCCCACCAGCTGTAACCACTCTCTGCTAGAGAGCAGACAGCACAAAAGGAACCAGAATGAAAGCAACAGGTAACTGGGAACGGGTGATGCATGAGAATTCAGAGAGCCCTGAGCTTTCTGATCCTCCAAATGCTTTTGCTGCTTTGCATCAGCTCAACCTGTGGGAGTGGCATGAACACACAGGTTATGCTCAATGCATCAAAGCTTTACAAGAACCACGTGGTTTTCTAGAGTTGCTTACTGAGGCTGCTACTTGTTTCAGGGAAGGTAACTTGTAAAACATCTCATGTCTGGTGCAGGCAAGGAGCCATACATGGTTTATGTATTAAAATCAAATGAACTGCAAACGGGACCTGGATGAGGAATTTCGCTAAATGTCAGTGACACACAGCAGTAGCATTTCACATGTAAAAGTGCAGCTTGCAAACACATCTAAAGTTACACTGAACTTTACTCAGACAACCTTAAGATTAGTCAAAGCTCTTTATTCTGTCTTTAGCTAGGACAATCAAAGAAACTACTATTACAACAGTTTTAACTGTTTTATACCCATTTTAAACAGCCACCTTGTCTAAAGTCATTTGCAGGCCAGATTTCCACTCATTTGCCAACCACACCAGGCTGCCAAACATCCCACTGTTCATGGGAACCGCTCCCTATCACCTGCTCCACCTTGATCTGCGTTAATGGGGCTCCCCATGCCAAAACACACACGCACGTTCATTCCCACGTGAGAGCAGGCATGGGACGTGTGTATGAAAATTGTATTGACAGTAGTGCTGCGTGGCAAAATGCTACCTCCAGAGCAGGCGAACATTTCAAGGTGTTGAGTCCTCCAGATTTTCATAATGAAATGATAAAATAGAGGAGGAAATCCAGATCCATAGATCCAGAATCTATGATTCCATGATTCTATCGCCAGGTTTGCTAAACAAGCGTGAGAAGAGCCCATTTGGGCAAAGGTTCCACCTCTGCTTCGTGCCAGCTTTCCCACAAAGCAAACCAGCATGTAATTGTCTACTTGCTATCTTTTAAAAGCCTTTCAGGAACACTCCCTGAAGCAACCAGAATCACAACAAACAATAACTCCAAGAAATGCTTAATAATGCAGGGACTTCTCTCGCACAGTTCAAGCGGAGGCCAAGACAGATATTTGGCAGCTCTGGCTTCCTGAAAAGGATGGCTCATCCTGAAATCAATTACATCATCAGGGCACTCGGAGGTTTTATAATTGAAGACAGCAGGGTAGGTGGCCTAGTAAAACTCAATACCGTGCAGTTTAGAGGAATGTAAACTTTGCTGGTACCAGATGGACTCTGCGTTAATCAAAACAAACTTCTCTAAGAAGCAGGCAGCTTTTTTAATTTGCCTGTCCTGTTGGAGGCATCTAGAGCTTACGGAAAGGAGCAGGGCAGCTCCTCAGCTGCCGTTCATTGCCACAGCTGCGCGAGCTGTCGCAAACCAGTATTGGCAAGGCATTTATCCCACGCTGCAGCTGACTCAGCTTTGGTATAAAAGGTGAACTTGCTTTTGTGTTCTCTTTGAAGGCTTTCTCAAGGGAAGATAACAAACAATTAAGATGTATGATGGATGCTCCCCATCGGGGACATCTAAAAGACCAAGATAAGTACTCGGTAGAACAAGCGTTGGCATTTTGAGAGCTTGTTTTGGCCAGGTCTCTCCACTGAGAAGATCATTCCTCCAATTTATATTCTTCTCATGAAACAGATCGAACTCTTAGCAACCGCCAGTGTTTTGAACTTGCACTTTCAAAACCCTAATACTAAAGGAAGATATTACAAGGATGAGTATAAAAGCAAGGCTGTTAACTTACTCTTCATTATTGATGGGAGTAAGACATCTCTCATCAAGACATTTTTTAGCTTAGAAGAGCCATCTTAAGCCAATGTCAGAGTTTCACAACATTGGTGGATGCACATCTAACTCCAAGCCAGTTAGACAGACTCCCCTGCTGAGAACGCACGAGTTCTACAAGAGCCATATTTTGTAGAGACCACCTTAACTTTTCTATCCAAAGATGACCTCCTTACAATCTGTCCAGCCAGCTACATC